TGTGTGTGTGTGTGTGTGTGTGTGTGTGTGTGTGTGTGTGTGTGTGTGTGAGAGAGAGAGAGAGAGAGAGCGAGGGGGGAGTGAGTAGCCGTCAGTGTGGCTGGAAGAGCCCCTTCTGCTTCACATTTCTTGGTGTGATTCAGATCCACTCTGTGGATTCTGTGAACGCGCGGCTTCACAAGCTGGTCGTGGATTTCTGAAGGATTATTCAGACCTGCATTTAAAAAAAACTGCTCATCCTTTTGAAAGCAGCGTGATATTTTCAACAAGAGCTGGATCTCCACACTCCTCTGCATGGGTTTGGATACAGAACTTACAGAAGGACATGAAAACTTTACCTCGGGGTGAAGAGGTACCACCGGGGGATCTTGTACAGGACTATGAAGCATTTGCAATCAGCAGCTGATGCTGAGATTTGCTGGAGTTTGAAACCTTAGCCGTTTTCTTCTTTGACCAGATGTTTGTTCAATGGTTCATGGTGGTAAATTTTCTTAATGCAGGCTAATGTGATTTAAAAACCAGAACTGGAGCTTAGGTTGTTAAACTCAGACGAGGTAATAATTGTTAAAAAGCGATTAAGTTGCTTGGAAAAACTGTGACTGCTTTTGAAAACTTCTTATAGATTGTTCTGTAGTTGTAGTATATCTCACTTCAGTGTGTGTGTGTGTGTGTGTTAGTATGGGTTATTAACTGTGTTGCTATGCAGACAGAGTGGAGCCACACTCAGACAGCTTCACTGTAACCTCACTCACACAGTTTAGCTCAGGAGAAAAGCTTTCTGCACTTCTCAGTCCAGCAGGGAAGACTCCTGCACAACAGCAGCTGTTCCACAGCTTTGAGCACTAAAGTGGCCTTTTCAAGAGTCTGCTATGCAGACAGAGTGGAGCCACAGAAAACCTGCTGGTAAAATTAAAGCAACACACATGGCTGAGCACATCCTGTCCTGCAGCTGAACAGCATGAGTGAGACAGTTAACAGCTGAGGCCTTGTGTGTCTGTGTGTGTGCCCCAGTGTGCAGTTAAAGAAAACTTGCATCAAAAGTTCCTTATCTCTCGACTCTGCCAAATATCTCTTGGTCTTTCTTTCTATACATGCTCTCATGAGTGGATTGTTTAAGCTGATGCTCACTCCTACAAAGTAAAAAGATTAAATAATTTGGTTTGAAACAGTTTATTTTTGCTTTCCATACATTTTTTAAATTTAAGGTCTTAGTTAAAAATCGTTTTGTTTTAGCTTTTTGTACGCTGCAGAAAAATGAAGAAACCACTTCCATTGAGTAATTCTTGGAACTGCTCCATCAATGAAGAACCAGTACTTTACACTCTGCCAGGCGCCAAGAAGAAGCTCAAGAGGAAGTCTCGTGAGCCTAAAAGACTTTTCCCGAGTCCTGAAAGTGAAACCATAAAAACTGTTCTAGTGGATATGTCTGATGGCAACTCAAAGGACACAGGGACAGGGTACGTCAGCAAGCTGGCTCCTTTTCATGGACAATTAACAATGTCACAGGAGATGACAATCAATAGTACAAAAAATCCGTCTGGACCACCAGAGGACAAGATGATACCGAGCCAGAGTGGTGCTATAGATATGAGAATTGGCATCAACGTGCCTGGCATCTCTTCCAGGGTGTCTGAATCACCTGCCTCTCCACAGTCACACCATGAGATCTCAAACTGGCCTTCCTCGATCTCTCAGCCCCTGTCCAACAGATTCAAGTTTGGCATCCACTCCACGTTCCCCTTGTCAGCATCGACCAGTGGCACACATTTTTCTGGATGTCAGGGATTCTCCTCAGCAGCCTCTCCACCCGAGCAATCCACTGCTCCTTTTATACTCAGAGAGTCCCAGTCCTCCGAGTGTCTGGACCACACTGAAACCCAGGTGTCTTCTCCTAAGGTGAATATACAATGTCTTCATAAGTAAATAATTCATAAAGCTTCAAAAACTTGTTTCAAGAATATTATCAGTGTGCATTGCATTGGCAATGCACACTATTGTGATTTGTTTCCCATCCAAGTCATCTCCACTTTGGCACGCTTCTCCTCCTGCATACTTTTTCCTAGAGTTGCCATTTTAATTTATATCTGTAAAGCTCTTGTGACAAATGATGGCTATGCCTTTTGGTGCCTGTACAACTTATACTTTTTGAAATATTAAATGTTTAAAATCATATAATGCCAGTCAATGGAGCCTTGTATTGGTCCAATACTGCCCCTTGCTGTATATACTCAGTACTGAACCATAGTTTAATAATATTTAAACTCTGTAGCTCAGTGATTACAATACTAATATGATTGTATTTTGATGTTTTACTAAAATAATATCCTAATATTACTCTATTGTTGTAATACGTATTATGCAGTTCTGTGTCAACAATTGCATTAGCAATGTGGCCTCTTTCTGCACACATACAAACCAACCCTTGGCACTTCCGTCTGCCAAAGCTGCAATGGTCTCATGGTTAACTCCATGGGCTTTCATGTGGGAGATCAGGGTTCAAAACCCAGCTACAGCAACTTTAACAAAAAATCTCTACAAACTTCATATTGTCACACAATTACCCTCATTACAAACACCTGTTGACTTGACAGGCAGAAATTGGTATAGAAAACACATTTGAACTTGGTCACAGTTCATTCTGCAAGTCCACTGCTGCAGTCAAAGCCATGCTACATGACAATGCACACTTGTTTTTACATCGTAAAAACCCATGTCTAGTTTATATTACATTGCTGATCATCTTTGAGACTAGTGTTCACATGAATACATCATTAGAAAAAAATTTCTAAAGGGCTTCATATTTTTTCATATTTTACGGTGATGATTTTTGAAGTGTTGCTCTGTCAAATAGTTACCAATAGTTCCTTATAATCTGTGACATCAGTCATAGAGCACAGAGTTTGGAGAAAAGAGCAGGAGTCTTTATTCATGGTAGGCTAATGACTAGCTGAATGATTTGTTGTTTTTGAGAAAGAGCTGTTTTTAAAGCCTGATACAACAACATTAAACAGACCCTCGTTTGGTTAGTGACGTTAATGCATTCAAATTATTAACAGTTATCATTTACGATAAATGGAAAGCACTTATATTGTGCTTTTACAATATTTTAAAGTTTTGGAAAGGGTTGGTGTTGAAGATTTTATATATTTATTTAAAAGCTGCAGGTAGCGGTGACAGTGATGCCAGATTTAGGAGGCATGGATGAATTTTCATGAGAAGTTAAAGGGATCCCCAATTGGTTGTAACATTAGACTTTATTTGATAAACATATATTTTAACTGTAAAATAAAAACTGTAAAAATACTGTAGGATGTTTAGTTTTGTAAATTTTTACAAATATATTTTAACACGGACGGAGCCATTTTATTTACATGCAAAGCATTCTGGGTAAATGATGACGTGGATAGGTCCTCAGTGCGAGGCTGCTAGTGAGCTATATCCACCCTGAAGGTTAATCTTGGACAATATCTGATGATCGACTCTTTTAAATGAAACCAYAGAGCGTTGACAGAGAGGAGAAGGTAGAAATGACTCAGCCTGGAACTGAAAATATGGATGGAGGACAACAGAGCTGCTTCATGGAAGAAGAACCTCAGCTTAGCCTGTTAGCTTTAGCATTAGCGCCGATGCTATATTGCCTTATATGTATTAGCTCAGCGCTAGCTCTACAAACAAGCTAAACTGAGGTCTTCCATCCATATTTTCAGTTCCAGACTGAGTCATTTTTGTGTTCCCCTCTCTGTCATGTGGATGGAGGACCTCAGTGATGAGAGGAGAATGTGTGGCGCTGAGCTAATACATATATATGGTGATAGCATTGGGGCTAATGCTAAAGCTAAGAGGCTAAGCTGAGGTTCTTCTTCCATGAAGCAGCTCTGTTGTCCTCCATCCATATATTCAGTTCCAGGCTGAGTCATTTCTACCTTCTCCTCTCTGTCAACGCTCTCTGGTTTCATTTAAAAGAGTCGATCATCAGATATTGTCCAAGATTAACCTTCAGGGTGGATATAGCTCACTAGCAGCCTCGCACCGAGGACCTATCCACGTCATCATTTACCCAGAATGCTTTGTGTGTAAATAAAATGGCCCCGTCCGTGTAATATATTTTTAAACTTTTAGTTTAAAAATGATAAAAACTGAACATTCTACAGTATTTTTACAGTCTTTATTTTACAGTTAAATAAATGTTTATTAAATAAAGTCTAATGTCACAACTAATCGGGGATCCCTTTAAAGTGTACTTTACCATCATTGGTGTATGAATGAATGATGCATGGAATTGTATTTGAGGGTCTCAAAAAGCGTTATACAAGATTAAAATTAAAATTATTATTATTATTATTATTATTATTATCAAGCTAAGGTTTTCAAATTAGGGTTCATACAAATAATCTGACCTATGTTGACAAAGATGTTCCATTGTCAGATCTGTCAGGGTCTAACATGTTTAGAGAACATTACTCTAAATCTGACATCATCTATTTACACATTGTGACACTGTGAATTTGTTGTTTTTTTGTTTTTCTCCTGTTTTTAGGAGTCTCCTAGAAAGCGGGTTGGTGTTAGTTCTCATGCACGAGGACATTTTCCAGAGGTCAAAGCCATCCAACAGACTAGGAGGCTTCTAGCCAACGCCAGGGAGAGGACCCGTGTTCACACCATCAGTGCAGCATTTGAGGCACTTAGAAAACAGGTCAGAATCTCGAAGTCCAAACTGAAGAGATACACTAAAAAGATGTACTTGTATTTTCATGTTGGACAGACATATATTAAAACAACAATATTTCTAGTTTTGTAATGCCCACATAAAATTAGCTGTAGTGGCTGAAATCAGGGGCAGATTTAGCCTTTTTGGGGTCCAAGGTAAAACACAGGCATGGGACCCTCCACTTCCCTTTGTTGTCTTTATTTTTCAACTTTTACTTATGTAAGATCTACTTGTAAATCATATTGTTTATTGCTACATACACGTCTCCCTACCAGGTGAGTAATAGTTGCAATAAATCTCAAAATTTTCTATATGGTCTGTTTTTTAAGAGCAGTAATTTGGTTCAGTGAATGTTTAGTTTGTGCAACAGAGTGAACTAGGTTTTTGTATTTGTAATATATTTAGCAGACAGCTCCTGTTCAATGAGTGCCTCCTCCAAATCAAATATATAAATGTATGTACTGCCAGACTACAGATACCATCCATATTGTTTTCACTGAACACATTTGGAATTTAGATTTTAAATACCATCAGCAGCAGCTTTAGCAGCGATTAGCATTTGTCATGGAATAATGACATCTAGGGGTGCCAACTGTCCCATATTAGTTGGGATGTCCTATATTTTTAGCCAAATTTATGTGCCCTGTATGGGACACTCTTTCTCCTGCAATCAAAACTGTGATGATACGACGGTAGGCATTTTTCTAGCATCCCAAGCTGCAGGGGCCCCCAGACAGACAGAACTGATGTAGCCAAAGGCAATGACCCTATGAAACACTGGGGGCAATGAAATGACTGGCATACCACCCCCCCCCCCAACCAGTCATCATTCCATATGTGGTGGGAGTTTCAGAGAAACTGAGAGGTTTATTCTCTAAACATGACGCCCCAGTGGCTTTCAAACCCCAAAACACGTTACGACAAAGATTAGTTCACCCCAAAGATCCAGATCCAAAAACAGAGTAATATAGTGTATGCTGTTAAGTGTCAGGAGGACTGTGATCAGTTATACATCGGGAAACAAAATAGCCACTGTTCAAAAGAATGAGCCAGCACAGACGAACTACTTTGTCGGGTCAGGACTCTGCAGTTTACACTCATCTACAGGCCAGAACTCTGCAGTTTACACTCATCTACAGGCCAGCGGTCACTCTTTCAGGGATGAAGATGTTCTCATCCTTGGTAGAGAGGAATGTTGGTTTGAGAGAGGAGTAAAGGAAGCCATCTTTGTGAAGAAAAAACGTTCATCATTAAACAGAGGTGGAGGCCTTCATGTCCAGTTGTCCTCCTCATACAACGCTGTTATTGCAAGTATGACTCAGCTCCCTGTGAGCAAAAGGTGTGAATCAGGGCCCCAACGATAACCAACACAGAGGGAGAGAGGGACAAAAACAAGGGGACGTTGAACCCCGCCTGCATTCACTACATACACATAACAAAACACCAAATAACAACAGCCGAAGCATCCAAACCAATAAGTCAGATGATGGGGCACATGACCCTCTAACAATAGAGCTAATCAAGCCTATTGTTAGTTGATGGCCCTCTTTTGCATGTGACTAACCTGTTTGTCCACCATGTGGAGGCAGTGCTTATAAGGCTGAGTTCACTTGAAACTCATCAGACTGAAGAAGTCTCTTGGAAGAGAGTCAAAATGTTTCACTAAAGAAGAACCATCCAGAGGACCTACTGATTTTTTCTTTTTGATAAATACCAGGTAACTATTTGTTCTTTGCATCATTTGACTCTTAAATATAAAAGTTTTCTGACCACGAAACACTGTTCTTATGCAGAAAATCTAAAAAAATACTAAACTTCAAATAAACTTTTCTCTTGTGATCCTTTTATTCTAAGAAAAGCAGCTGATTCACTACTATAGGATTTATAAACTTTACTATATACAGATGTACTGAAGCTAGAAAATTACAGAAGTAATCAGTGACGTTATGCATTTAAATTATAACAGGGAATCAATAAATATCAGAGTGCACTTGGACTCAATCATTAAAATACAGTTTGACTGATTAAAAACTTAATAATAGATTAAATGTTATCACTAAAGTTTATGTGATTGCTACCGTTAGCTGATAGATGACTAGAAGCAAGCCAACTTTTCATAGGAATAACAACTGTCCTGTGGGGAGATTTTGACTTATTTCTGTTTTTTTGTAAAGAATAAAGTTTTGCCAGAAGCTGGACATCATCAGATGTTAATGAGAATGACGTTATACCTGCTCCAGCAGCACTGAGAATTAATCACGTGGTCGTGCACCTCCGAAATTTTGAAACTCCACAAAGTCTGCGTGTGCCACGCACCATTCAAAGAGTTTGTTTGTTCGTCACGCCTTTGTCCTCCTATTTACAACATTTCACAAGTTATAAAGTGTACTTCCACGTGTCCTTTTGGAGAAACCTACAACAATGTAAGCTCCAAGTATAAACAACTCCACCACTGGTAAGGGTGCACGCTCGCACTCCACGACTACCCAGCTATAACCAAGCCTTAATATGGGGGTTCTAGAACAAGTTAGCATCTATCTGTGGGCTGTACAAAACATGTTCATTTGATTTAATTCACAAATTAATCTCAGATAATGAAATTTCACCTTTTCGGTTCTGCCTGTTCTTCAGCTCTCTTTAGAAAGAGTTGCTTATGCCAGTGGTTCCCAAACTTTTTATCTTCTGACCCACAAAATATCCATGGCAAAAACTTGTGACCCCAAATATTACTGGTCTGAGTACATGAACTTTGTTAATAACCTTAAAAACACAGGCTTTTTGACAATCTAAACAGCTTGTACACAAATATAAATACTTATTTACACTTA